ATATATATATATATATATATATATGTGTGTATGTGTATGTGTATATGTATATATGTATCTGTATATGTATATATATATGTGTGTATGTGTGTGTCTACCGGCCATCAAATAATCTACTAATTTAACTAATTTAAAGCTAAGTGAATAACACGTGTATAACAACTGCTGCAAATATTTTTTACATTAAAATAATAAAAATAATAAAATTGATTTCCCAATATATACAGGGTGTCCGTGGGGTCTTAAAAAGTATTAAAAGTTGATAAATCAATTTAGAGAAAATTAAGGCCCTTAAAAAGTATTAAAAAGTCTTAAATGACATTTTCCAAGGTATTACATTTTGTATCATCTTTTCATTATGTATATTTGTCCGAATAGTGGGGTTCTGTGTAGTTTATTTATGGAATAAATTTATGTAATCTGTTACGGCGCTCACTGACTGACTGAGCTGCTTACTGCACGCGCCCATTTTTGTGTTTTTTTCCCGTTTTGATTTTTGTGTCCGCTTCCTCAAACATTCTAATATTGTATATCATTTTTGCACATCAGGGCTGCGCTATCAATATGTGGGGTATTTAAATCCCCTTTGAATGAGCACTCGCTGTCGTAATTTACTTTCGATTTCGCGATCGCGCACGCACTGTGTAAAGGGAGCACATCCTACGATAAAAGATATTTGTCAATGCACTCGGGATCTGTTGAGAAGTAAATCCTCCAACATCTTGTCAGTTATCTCTCCTTACTTTTGACCCGTGATCAGTCAAATCTCACTTCTGCAGCTCATGTTGGATGCAGGGTTGTTGTTTTTTTCCACAAAATTGGGTTGCTTTTAAACTGTTGCCATGGGTTGATTTTCCCCAGTGGGTTAAAGGTTTGAAATATTGCATAAATTACATTTGGTTGAAATGCTTGTACTCATATTTTGCATTCTACCTGTAATAAAACTGCTAAATGTTTTGGGCCACACTAGTAGGAAGCATTTGAGCTGTGTTTATGATAAATGTGCATAACAGTGACTGTAAAATATGTATTTTAGGGATGGAAATTACATTTTTA